CACACAGGCTCAGATAGATCAGGGAAGTTCTTAACTCCCTCTTTATTTTATAAGGGAGGGGATATTGTCCACCCTCCTTGTATCTGCTGGCTTCTCCCAAATGTGGACCCAAAGCAGCTTACACCATTCCCCTCTTCATTTTATCTTCACAGAACAAGCCAGTGAGATAGGTTTGGCTGAGAGTGTGTGACTGACCCAAGGTCACCCAGTAAGAGATAGGATAGGCTAGGATGTTTTGATTACCTTCACTTTTGGCACTACAGCTCCCATGATCATCCTGGTGGCCAGTTTTCAAATGTCTAGCTTTATTTTTTGATGAGTTATTTCTGCCCCCCCCCACATACACACAAACCCACTTTCCCTCAGGCTAATTTTCTCTCTTTCCCCCTCCAGTTAGTTTCATGGCTGCAAAGAAATCCAATGGAGGGAGGCTTGATGGAGGCACTGAAGTGGAGAATCAGTGGGCAGGGGTAGGACTGAATTCCTCCTCTCCCAGCCAAGGCTTCTCCCCTGAAAGTGTTCCCAGAGTCCTGCATTGCTATTAACCAGCAAATGCATATGTATCAATGCACCTTGTAATTCTGGGCCAAAGTGGTGATGATATAAGGTTAAGGAATTGGTTTAAGTGTACTATATAGGCTAAGGAAGATCTCACATATTGCAATCATTTAAATCATGACCACGGGTCATTTAGTAGAAAAAGAGGTGCAGGAGCTCATCAGCCTAACTCATTAGCATAACTTATTTGCATATGTCACACCCCCTGACATCACCGAAAGTGTGTCAGAAGGCAACACCCACCGCTCAGGCTCCACTGGACTGTTTTGGATTGCTAGCTATTGGGGGAGGGGGGAACGTGCAGATTTGTCCTCGCAGAGGAGGGAAAGCTTGTACCTGAATAAAACTTGGTCTTAATGGTTCCACTGGACTGTTTTGGACTGGGGGCCCGGGGGGGCTTTGCAACTTACCTGGCTGCTTCTTGCTCTGACTGAGGGCTGCTGGGAGCAGGGGGCGGGGCATGTTGCATGTGCCCGCCCCCTGGGTTCTTTACTGCCGGAGCTCCGCTCCTGTGCGCTCCTGCAGGAAATGACCCCTGGTCCTCGCAGAGGAGGGAGAGCTTGTACCTGAATAAAACTTGGTCTTAAAGGTGCCACTCGACTGTTTTGGACTGGGGGGCCGGGGGGGAGCTCTGCAACTTACCTGGCTGCTTCTTGCTCTAGCTGAAGGCTGCTGGGAGCAGGGGGTGGAGCTTGTTGCATGTGCCCACCCCCTGGGCTTTTTACTGCTGGACCTCCACTCCTGTGTGCTCCTGCAGGAAATGACCCCTGATCATGACCTAGAAAAATGCCAGTTGAGATGCAATCCAATGCTTTGTAGTTTGTGAGGAAGCCCAATAATTCAGTGAGACTTACATCTGAGTAAATATGCAGAGTGTTGGATCTGAAACATTGCAAATAGTAGAAAAGCCATACCCACTGCACTAACACTTCTATACTGGATTGCAGGGCCTCAAATAGGGGATTAAACAAATTCCTGGAGGACCAGTAGTGGGTATTGACCATGGTGGCTAAATGCAGCCTCCATGTTCAAAGACAGAATAATTTTGAATACCCTACGGTTTTTTTGTAGGGCAACAACAGTGGGAGGCTGTAGCTGCTTATGAGCCTTCCTGGGGCATCTCGTTTGTCACTCT